TCTTCGTTTATTTTGCATTTATGTATTGTCAAATTTAAAAGCTGGCTAATATTGCTGGCAGGATAATATATGAAATAAATACCAATGCAAGGAAACTCGTTCTTTTATTGCTTTATTTTACGGGTTTCGGATACCGTTAATTATTTAATGCGGAAGGGATTAACAATCGAGAAATAGGAGCATGCGCTCGAGGATTAACGTTTCGAACGACAGGTATATTCAGTTCACAGGTGTCCGTTTATTACCCAGGTCAGTTACTTATAACTGAACATTTAAATTTTCAAATGTGGTAGGGAAAAAATTATTACCATAGTTAAAAGTTTTATTTACAAAATATATGTATAAATGAATTGTAAATGAGTTTTCTGAGAAACAATAAATTCTACGATAATGGGCAAAAGTATTCACACATCTTTTAAAACTGCTACGGACTGAAATACATTAAGAATATATATTTCATTTTTTATTTTTGAATTTTTATTTAACTGCTAATAAATCTAACAGCTTTTTTACACTATTTATTGTAAAATCGCTTCTTGTGTGCGTGCGTGTGTGTCGAAGTTCGATGAAACTTTGTATTAGATTACAATTCTTTTAATGCCAGGATATTAACTACATCTCTGAGTATTATTATTATTATTTCTTATTTTTAACGTTCAACAAAATCCATCGAAATTCTTTGTCACTTCTTTAATATTTAGAAGGAACAATACATAAGGCATCTATGGATGGAGACACGTCGAGCATTTTTCTAAGAAAAGAGGTATTAAATGTAACCTTCTACCGGTTCTGCCCGGTATATTTATAAAAATATCATAAAGCTGTTTCTGTTTCCGAATGCCAGGACGAAGCGAACAGAAACAAGAATAGAAAGAAAAAGAGAAAGTTGAAATTCTCTTCTTCGAATTCGCATGTATTAATAAAAGATAAGATAAGATAAAGAAAATAGAAAGAAAAATTTAAGGAATAAGTTCTAGAATATTAAGATCGAGAGAGAGAGAAATAAAGAGATTGTTTGTGCGTTCTTTTTTTTTCGGAAAACAATGTTTAATTTGTCAATATATATATATAATTTGTAATATATGCGATTATTATAAATTATTCCAATTTATGTTAAGAACTTTTGTCATCCGACATTAATATACCAAAGTTTGAGATTAATTTAACGTAATTTTGATTATTTTAAAAAAGAAATTTTTTCAAATACATGTATCTGGTAAATTAATTCTTGTAACTTTTTAATAAAAAAAAAAAAAAATAAGCTTGTGAGGAGTGTACTGAAGAGAGTGTGACCTTGATAATATATATCAAGGTCAAAGCAGTTTTCCTCTAATTGTAACCTTTACTGAAGTTATAACATTAAGTATAATTTTTCCATATCAATAAATTTTAAATGCTACAAATTTTTAGTTATGTTTTTACTATTTTATTATTGCTTAACAAAAACGTGATACATTTATTTCAAACAATCGCAACACCTGTTTTGAATGTCTTGATTTTGAATCTTGTTAATTTAAAATTAAACAAGATAAAAAAGAATAAGGAATTATATTTTTCTATTTATTTGAGAAAAAACTTGAGCATATATTCTTAAATTTATAAATTATTTAGATCTAGAAAAGGCGCGTTTTCGATAGAAGCTCAGATAATTAAAAATCATGATTTTCACTACTCTTTCTTCAACAATAGAAATTTAAAACAAATTTTTTTATACATTATCTAGTAAACTAATTTTTTTAACATCCCGAAAAAAATTTCAAGCCATTTGATGAAATTCTAAAAAAAATTATACCGTTTTAAAGAACTTTCGTTCATTAGTATATCGTACATTTTAATTTTATTAATAAGTTATAATAATAGCAATTATTATTATCATCACTGTTTTTTTTTTCAAATCAATAATGCAAATTTTGCAAATTTTTAGTTATGTCATTATTGCGACAAAACGATATGATATTATATCGCGATATGTTTACTTTAAACTTGACCAAATCATAATTTGTTGACATAAACAACAGTGTGTTATGAATAATATTTGTTTATATAATATTAGTTCAAATGGCAATCGTATAAAGATTCAAGGAATTAATTCAATTCACTTTTTTTTTTTTCTTTTTTTTTTTTAGACTTTTATTTTCTACTAACTAACTAGTATTATATAAACATAAATACAGACAAAAATTTTTACTAAACTCAATATATATTGCAACGTATAAATATTCTTTTTTATACAACACTGTATAGTAAAAAAAAAAAAGAAGAAGAATATAAGAATTCAGGTGTTATTGTTCAACAGCATAAGACCAACCAGCTGCCAACCAGCCAGCTCATTTATAACTGTAACCACAGCAATATTATTATTTTTTATTGTTATTATACTTAAGTACCTGCTTTATTATTTTATTATACCTCAGTTTTAGTTTACTCTAACAAATAACTAATATATTATTTCTAAGAATTCTTCCTCATTGTTTAGTTACCAGTGAAAGGAAACCCCAAACAATTTTGGTGTTTAAATAAATGATAATAAGTAACGGGTTAGTCAAAGACCAGTTAGGCAGTTAATTTATATTCCTGAAAATATAATATAAATATTTTCTGTTAGAAGAGCTATTTAATACATAAATTTTTTGTAGATTAATATTATTGAATAATTTTTTTTTATATATTACTACTAATTTTTCTGATCAAATATGTATACTTCATTTAATTTTATTTTATATATTTTATTTTATATATATACTTTAATTTAATATTGTAATATACATTTCTTGAAAAGGGTTGATAAATAAAACATTACATTTTTTTATATTTCTTTGAATAATTTCAATGATGGTGATCAGACAAAAAAAAAAAAATTCATTGAATTGTCGATGATTGGTTAAGAAAATTTATATTGCAAAAACTGCAAAATTTTATATAAAAAAAAAAAGCATATTAGAAATGCAAGAACTCGTTATTATAGAATCTTCTATTAACACATGTACGCTTCTTGGATTGCTAAACAGATTTGAAAATTATTTGATTTTCATTTACATAATGATTGCGAAAAATAAGCAAATACTGAATAATTCAAATGAATATTTCCTTCAACACGTGGTTTTGTAAGATTTCTGTAAAAATAATTTTTCTCTCTCTCTCTCTTCCCTTTTTTTTTCCTCTTCCGTTACTTTTTTTTATAAATTTTAAATATTAATTTTACAATCTTGCTATACCTTTTTCCAACATATGTGTTATAATTGTTGAATTTATCGAAGATTCGAAAATTAATAAAAAAAACCAGTTTAACCAGTTCTTTTATCATTTTATTCTAAATACAAAATAATTTATTTTAATTAAATATTAAAAATATTTCTTCCTTTATATTAGAATTGTGTATCATTGTGAAATGAAAACAAGGAATCAGCATACAGTGCTGGATAAATAAAATTATAAGCTGTTTTATAATTATTTTATTTAATAAATAATTAATAAATAATTATTAAAGATAGAAAATTGCAGAAAATTTAATGTATTTTTGTTGTTTATAGTCTTAAGTTATAAAAGTAATAGAATTATTTTTATAATAAAAAAAATAAATATTAAATATTCAAAAATAAATAATATTCCTTCAAATTTATTAGATTTATTAGAAATATTTTCATTTATTTAATGTTTATTTTTTTATATTGTAAGCAAAATTATAATTTAAAATTATAATAAATACGAATAGATACAAATAATAAATATTTTAATTAATCAATATAAATAAATATATAAAATAAAAAGTTCTTATTACAATAAATATTTGCAATTTTTTATTTTCATTAAAAAAATTCAGTGTTAATTACAACTTATTATTAATTACCTTATTTATTATTTATCATAAATAAACGAAAACGAAAACTTTTAAACATTTATTATTCATCATTATTTTAATGACCTTGTATGACTTTGTATGACAGTTTAAATTGCAACCAATAGGAAAAGAGATCCCATGCGATGGGGCAGGGATAGGATGAAAAAGATTGGAAGTCTTAAGGGATCGTTCAACCCCCCCGAAAATTAATATACCTGTTCGCAGTAATATACCTGTTAGGAATATAAAAGGGCGAACATCAAGCGAATGTCACTTAGTACTCACCAAGTTTCCATTCGACCAAGACCTTTTTCCAATTTCCCAAGTTCCATTCCTCAGTAATTTGTAGTGACCAGTGCGAAAAATTCCCAGTTATCCCAGTTTAGTTATCCACACAAAGTGCGCTCATTTCAACTTTGTTTTGCTTCGAGTTTATTCGAGATGTGTTCAACTTTAAGTCTTAAATATACGAGAAAAAAAAACATTACTACGAGTGAACAAGAGGTAAACATAGAACACAGTTAAGGTTATTTGTCGCGTTCGGTAGCATGTTTTGAAAGACTTCCCACGAGAGACGAGATGTAACGTGACGGAGATAGGAATGTTGTGTGTATCACGTGGCTCGAAATAGTTTTATTTTACTATTACATGGTGACGATGAAATTATATTGTGTTAAATTAAAGCTTTTTCTCCACGATAATAATTATTACTTGATAGTAATAATAGATAATAATATCTAATAGTAAATAATAATAACTATAATAATAATAATATCTCTTTTCATTCTTTTAATATAGAAAAGATCACGTGTATTTAATAAGTCAATCACTAACAATTTAAAAAAATTTTCTTTATTAACGTGTCGTGCGATTATCGAATGTTAAGGATTCATTTTTTTTCTTTTTTTCAATGCTCTCGATTACTAGAAATTAAATCTTAAATCTTTCGGAATAAATAACTTAAACTTGAACGAAATCAACAATAACGTCATACCCTTTATCGAAATACCGCGAAGAAATTCGGTTTCATAAAATCTTCCTCTCGTTTTCCATTATTTTTCTATTATTCGGTCGGTGATATGTTCTTAAACATTTCGTGCGCAGTTCCCACGTTCGTTCGAAACACGGTGTGCAGTGTCAAATAATATATTTATCCTTTCAGATGTCACTGAATCGGATAAAGTAAAGTTCGAAGAACCAAGAGATTCGGCGAGCGGGTCGATTGGGGCGGGCGGTGGTGGCAACAAACGTGCTAAAAACAAGAAGAGACGCGAAACGCAACAAGAGTTCACGCATTCCTGGGTGGTTGGCGCGCTGAAAGGGCACACGGGCCCTGTCCTCGATATGAATTTCTCCAGTAATGGGAAATTCATTGCATCTTGTGCTGAAGGTATGTACCAATAAATTAAATAAAAACTCGTCCGATCGAGAGGTCTCTATCGATGATATATTTCTTTTTATCGCAAATATTTTCTGTACTTTCGCAAATATTATATATATATATACACATGCAGAGATAAAAGCAAGAACCAGTAAATGGTCTGAATGATTAGTTTTTTTTTTTTTCTTTTTCTTCTCAACTTATCAAACGAAATACGTCTTCGTAGTATTTTATTTCGATAAAGAAACAAGAAATACATCGTATTAAGTAGAACATTTATTGTTTAATTAAAACGATTATCTTGGAAAGTTGCACAACGAAGTTGTAACGAAGTTGAGAGATCCCGAAGAGAACTCGTGACTCATATGTCGAACGAATGAGATTCATTTTGGAGATTTTCTGATCGGTGATGGGTCGCGCTGCGCCATTGCAACAATTGCCGGTATTGCGCGAGAAAAAGCGAGAAAAAAAAGTTATGTCTCCGATAGAGCCACCCGAAGGACGATCTCTTATATTTTTTTTTCTTTTTTTTTTTTTTCTTTACTTCCGTTTTTCTTTTAAACTCCCTCGGCTAATATACGTGTGTATAACTCCAGTACGGTAGAATAATTTTTTTTTTTTCTTTTCTTTTCTTTTACTCGAGATAAACACTCCGCACTTTTGCTCGTTGTTTTTCATCGATGACGCGATGAGCTTTTTTCTTTCTTATTTCTTTTTTATTTGCATGTATTGTATTGTTGTGCCAGTAACAACAGTCGATCTCTGTCTCTGCTTGCACCGTTTTCACGATTTATACAATTTTTATACACTCTCTTGAAACGTTTTTTTCTTCTTCGACTTGGTTCATGTAATTATCCACCGTGTTGAAGATAAACGTGATCGTGCGTTAAAATAAATTTTTATTAAATTATTGATACATTTTTGAAGTTAGCAATATAATAAAATCTATGGAGATATCGGTTTATAAACGTTAGGGAATTATTATAAAATTTGAAAGAAAAATAATTTATTTCCAAATATACTCGTCTCTTACTTACTATGCCACAATTTTTCGTCTAGTTGGTCTACGAGTAGAGGTAGATGGGCAAAATGTAGGTCGTTCGAGTGAAATCAAGTTGTCAGGTCTCCGTGCTTCGGTTTCTCGAAAAATATCAATCTGTCTCGATTGCCTTTTCACTTGTATCGTTCTTCACTTACGCATATCTATTATTGTATTAAACTTATTCTGATTAGACTTGCTTGGGTGGGTGGGTTAATTTCAAAGAAGAAATGTAAAATAGATATTTTCCTTTTTATCCCCTTATGTTGCGTTATCGATCCAATCACTTGGAGAAGAACGAACATATATATAGTGAAAGTATAAAAATAATGGAAAAATCACTCGCGCCTAACGACTACTTTCACTATTTCATCTTTGAAATCAAAACAAGATCAAATTCCCCGATTTCTCGTCGCTAGTGATACCAGATACACTATTGCAATTTATTTTAATTATTTTAATCTTCGTATTTTATTGTATATACGTATATCTATAAAATTATCGTTGGATCTTTTGGGCGTTTAAATTAGAAACAACGAAGCATATACTTTACTTTATTATACTTAACTTTACAGAGAATTTAAGAATTTTTTATTTTCTTTTTCTCTCATCGTCTCTCGTTTTATGTATGCTTCAGCGCATCCTGCGCGCGCATCATAAAGTGTAGGATTTCGCAATATGGCGTCGCGTAAGGGTTAAAATATTTGAACAGCTCATTGTTGTTGTCTCCTTTAATGGTTCACATTGTGACGATCGTGGGTGACCCGTTGGCCATGGAAGATTTTCGTGAAGCCGATTCGGCTTCTCGTCCACGCCGAGTTTCTCTTCTTTCGTTTCTCCCGCCGTGTTTAACCTCGAATCCACAGTTGGAGGTACATTGTGCTGCCACGTGTATATACGTGCGTGTAAGATCACGTGAATAATAGGAGCGGTCTCACGCTTTTTCATAGATCGTTCTGATAAATAGATCTTTCAATTTCTTTTTATTTTTAACTGTTTTTTATTCTTGAAATCAATCATTTTCCAAGAATTCTAAGTAAAATTAGAAATATTTACATAACAATAAATAGTTCGGTGATTATATTAGTTGGATGACTTCCATCGAAATCGTTTGCCTAATTTCTCGCGAAATATTCGCCGTAGTATCGTTGAAAGATCATTCGGTTAATTAATGTGAGTCATCAGTCATGCCTTAACCGCGAAATCGTGTATCATGAATCATTCTATCTTATAAGCATATAAGCAAATAATCAATGATAATCGTGACGATGTATTACGTATCCTATGATGGAAAGCGATCTAACGTTTTAATTGTTCTTTCCGTTACTTTGAATCGGCGATTCAGAAAAATTCTCGAAATCGTGAATTTGATCCAAACTTGAAATTGTTCGTAGGTTGGGATAAATTTAGAAAACGGCTAATGAACTTGTGCGAGCAATTTTTCAAATCGCTCATTTCCGTTGCATTTTCGATTTTTTTTTTTTTTTGTATCGATTCGATTTTACGATTCCTTATCGTCTCTATTCTCCCTCAATTTTTCGAGTTATCAATATTTTTGCGACAATAATAATTTAATCGTGTTATTTCGTTTTAATAATTCGACGATCGAACATTTTTCGTAATGAACGGAAACTTGATCAGTAGTAAAAAAAAAATTTCGAAAATTTGTCACCCGGTATATAATATATATCGATCGATCGATTATTATCTCGAGTCTAATTCTACGAAACGATATATAGAATTCGGGGCCAGTGGCTGGCTGGCTAAGTTGCTGGCTGCGTCGCTATCACCTTTCCGATGCGCGAACGTAACAAGCGCGGTTGTAACAGCCTAATAATAGCGCGACGTGGGAAATTCTCTGGCCTTAAATCAAGCCCACACGCCGAGGCGATTACTTATGCTCGCACGGTGACTCGATGAAATAGCTCCGTCATAAGCCAATAATTCGGCGTACAAGATTATCGAACGATCAATCAAGAGAGTCGCGCTTTCTCTAATGTGATCTCATTATTACAGTCAAATTCTTGGTTTCGATCACTTTTATAACCTCTTTTTTTCTCTTATTGAATCTTATCATTCATCGTATCGAAGTTCGATAAAAATATCGACGCAGCACTTCATAACGAATTAATCAACTCGTAATTCTGTTTGCTCAAGAATCATCGTTCATATTTCCTTCGTACGATCGTATTTTCGAAATAAGAAGATCCAAGATTTAAGTTCTTTTCTGATTTTATCTCTTTATCATTTTAACTCGAGAGCAATTCATTCTCGTAATTTTTAATCGATTCGTCGTGTTGGCAAGTTTTTCTAGACTTCGCGGTTCCCCTTCCCCCACTTTGGCTATTATTCAGATCTCGCGTGAAGGCCGGGATTTCCTCGAAGAATCGGATGATTTCATTAAATGACGCAACGGTATACATCGAAGCCGGTCGTTCCTGCGAACGGGGATACCGTATTCCGTTATCCGAGTCACCGTCTCTTTTTTCGTCCCTTTTTTTCCTTCTTTTCTTTTTCCTTCCTTCGAACGTACGACGGGAGTCCTCGCACGACTGTGTCGCCCTCTTTCGAGAAACCGGCTATACGCGAGAATATCTTTTTATTGCAACGCTTGTTCGACGTCATTTTTTGCGTCAAGGGAACCGATAAATTCGACGCAATATTTCGCTTCTCCTTCTTTCGGAATTTTTTTTTTTTTAGAACGTGACATTTCTGACGTAAACTAATTAATCTAATTTTATCACATTCGATATCTTGGTTTCGTTTCGTCAAATAGGAAAATTGAAAGGAAAGTTTCTATATTTCGTTCATTGTTCGAGTATATACGAATAAAGAGAAAAATATTAAAATTGTGCCAAGAAATGTATCCACGGATGGTGGTGGTGGTGGTCCATAAGAAAGTACAAATAATATTTGCTATCGATTGTTAAATTTTGTTCGTTCTCTTGAAAATATATTTAAAAGATAAAAAGTAAAAAAAACTTTCTTCGCATTGCTCCTTCGTATTTTTTTTCATTTCATTTTTATCGAAAAAAGAATCGTGTTATTTCGATCTACCGCTATAAAACAGAGAAAAGAAAGCGACGACCCTTTCCACGCGTGACGCGTTTGGCGAAAGTTGCGTATTACTGAATAAACAAGAAGCGTTAAAACGGTTCACCTTTTATTGGCCGCCCGCTTTTTGTGCTTTGGCCTGTAACGAGAACGCAACGCTATTCGATCATGTTTTTTTTTTCTTTTCTTTTTCTTTTTCTTTTTATTTCCCGCCATTAACTCGGACGAGAAATGCCCGAAGACTTTATCTGATTACTCGAGAAAGGCTTTTAGAACCTAGTAGAATTTTTACGCGAATTTCGTTTTATATACGAGATTGAAAAACTAGCTCGAATTAAATTGCTTTTCTTCATATATATATATATATCTTTCTAAGAAGACTAGTTCTCGTTCGATGCTTTACAATTTTTAATTCATTACAAAAGATATCCTTCAAACATTTTTATTAAAGGAAAACGAGCGTTAATTTTAATCCTCTATAACGTCATGTGACTTCTTAATTACATATATATATATATATTTTTTATCCCACTGCATTTTATCAAACAATATTTGTTAATAAGTCAGTTGCTGTACTTGGATAAAAGTTTCTTCCAATTATAATCTTTTCCTTTATGAAATAAACGAAATTCTGGTTATAGAGGGTTAAAAAAGAAAAGTTAGTTTTCTCGAGACTCACTCGAGATTCAAACGACTACCTCGTTCTGTTCGACATCAACGATGCTATTAACATCGATGGTTCCTTTACAGACAAAAATTCACATACGTTAATTCACACACGTCCGTGGCAAGCTTTCACTTTCATATTTTCCTCTTCTTTTTTCTTCGCTATTTTTTTTAGATAAATTATTCGCGCAGCACTCGTTTGAAACGATTTTGAAACGAACAAATCGATATTTTTAAATATATATATATATACACACACACTACGGTTTTTCTCATCGATCGTTTCGAAGACAAAGAAAATTTATACCTTCCGCTGGAATCGTATCGAGTTCATTCGCGGCGCGTGGCATAAGGGGAGGGGAGGGCATCGGTTCAAGGCAGAAATATGGCGGTCTCTGGGTCAAGAGCGACTCGGATCGATGTGACCACGAGTTTTTTTCATATGCGCACACACTCGCCGTGGTTTTCATTCGAATAACATTTTTCGAAAGAAAGAAGATATGAGAATAAAAAAAAAAAAAAGAAAGAAGATTGTATTCCCATCGTTTCTTTCATTTTGATCGGTCGATCTTTTATCGCAATTCGAAATATTCGTCTCGTTGCCAAGAACCAAGAGTAAAAATCGTGGGATTTTAAATAACTTTCAAAATGTATTCGCACGAAATAGAGGTGGAAAAAAAAATTTAAGGAAATTCAGACAGAAATTATAATTTATTTGGAACACTTTGGAAAGAAAAAAAAGCCATTCCTTAAATTTTTTCCTCTAAATTATCTTCGTCCGAAACATTCGTGTATGTACGTATGTATGTATGTATGTATGCAATTGACGATCGTATCGTTGTCCTTGCAATAAATAAATAAATAAATAAATAAATAAATAAATAAAAAGTATAAGCAGAGAGAAATGTCGGGGAAAAGAGCGTAGAGAGATGCATGCACGTGGTGTGTGGACCAAAAAAAAAAAAAAAAAAGAAGAGAGAGAAAAAGACACTTTTAACCAAAAAGGTACATAAACGTAGGCCTGATTATTAAGTATGAACGGACGATGAACTTGTTGACGAATATATACATATATATGTGTTTTTGTATGTGTACATAAAGATTGCGGGCTGCGGCCGGAAGAGGAGGTCCTGGATCCCGGGGAAACGGAGTGCTATAAGAATCGCGAGATGTCTACGTCGGCGAAGACTGCGACGAGGGGGAAGAGTAATAAGATAACGGGCGCGCAATCGGCCCAACCTGCGTCCAATATGACGTCTTCGTCGCCTTCCGCGAAAGAGGATCGCACCATTCTGAGCAGGAGGCAGAGGAAGAACCGGACGAGGAACCCGCGGGATCCCCAGCGGCGGGAGCAGGAGGACGAGCAGAGGGGGGTGCAGGAGGACGAGGAGCAGCGACCCGCCGATCCCTCGATACCGGCTCATCATCACCATCATCATTATCATCACCATTACCATCACCAGATGATGATGATGAACTCGGCCCCCGAATGGAGGGGCGAGGGGCAGCCGGCGGTGGGCAGCGGCCATCCCCACACGAACGAGAACGGCAGCGGAGTGACGAGCCACGGAGCAGCAACGGCCACGTTCTGGGGGGCAGCGGGCTACAACAGGAGATACTGCGATTTTTTGAGCAACGAGAGGAGGCAATTGAGCCAATTCACCGACGCCACCTTGTCGTCCATACTTCGCACCTACACCCTCACCGGGGACCAACTCGCTCATCTCGGCTACCCGGTCGAGTGCGGCTATTATCCTGGATACGCGGTGTTCATCAATAACCCGCACCCGATAGGCCACCGTATATTGAGGTACCATCGTTTGGACGCGAACGCGCAGGAATTCGTGCCCGGAAACTCGTGCGTCGGCGGTGGAGGCGGGGGAGGGGGGGTAGGGGGAGGAGGGGGGAGGGGGAGGAGGCGGCGGAGGCGGCGGCGGCGGCGGCGGTCCGTCCAACCAACAGTGGACGACCGCGATGGTCGAGAGCGAAGGGGACAGCGGTAACTCGAGCGGTAGCTCGGTGGAGAACTCGGACTTCGAGCAGGAGGTGACCTCGTCGGACAGCTCTGACATCGGGGAATATTCGTCCTCGTCGTCCTCGTGCACCGAGTCGAACTTGTTCGATTGCCACAATTACCAGAGGAGCAGAAGATACTCGAACGTGGATGATTGTTCGGTGAACGAGCCGATGGCGATCGAGCGGAAGTGCGCGAGATGTCATAAAAGTTTTTACGTGAACAGGGAGAACGGTGAATACGTTGACGAGGAGAAGTGTGTCCACCATTGGGGCAAGTTGCGAAGTGGTTTGGGAGGCGCCCACGTCGATTTGTGGGATTGTTGTCGGGGCCGTGAAATGTCCCGGGGCTGTACCATCGTCGGGTTCCACGTGTGGACCGGCGCGGTCCCGGGATACAACGGCCCCTTCGACAACTACGTACGCACGAAATTGGCGGAACGGTGCCGCCCGACGGTAATTACGGTGTTTACGGCCTCGACTGCGAGATGTGCTTCACTCGGCGCGGCCTCGAGGTGGTCAAAGTTACCGTGGTCGATTTGGACGGTAGAGTTGTTTACGACACATTTGTGAAACCTGACGTCGAGATAATTGACTACAACACGAGATTCAGCGGTATTACGGCGCGCGATCTCGAAAACACGACTAAACGGTTGTGCGACGTGCAGCAGGATCTCTTAAGCTTCATATTCGCCGAGACGATACTGATCGGCCATGGGATGGAGAACGATTTGCGCGCATTGAAGTTGTTGCACACGACCGTGATCGACACGTGCGTCGCGTTCCCCCACTTCCTCGGTTACCCGTTCCGTTCGAGTTTGAAAACGTTAGCGAGGACGGTGTTGCGAAGGGACATACAAGTATTGGAACACGATTCCGTCGAGGATTCCAGGATAGTTGTTGACCTTATGTTGAGAAGGGTGAAACACGATTACCTAGATAGTTAATGTACAAAAAGGGGGGGGGGAAGAAAAAAGGAAAAAAAGAAAGAAGAAGAAAGGCTGCCGAAGAAAAAAGAAGATATAGATATGGTAATAGAAAATGTAATTGTATGTTGTTCATATATATATGTGTGTATATATATATATATATATATAACACATATATATACACACACGTATACACACGTTATATACAGTGAACGAGGCGTCGAATTTCTTTTTCGCAAGACAAAACAAGGGAAACTTGGCGTTAAATATGCTTGAGAATCCTTTCTCCTTCCGGTCGAAACTTGCGATTCGAAATTCGCGCGTTTGCGTGATCACGTGACTTCGCCGCGTAAAAGATTCCGAGTCGTGGTGAGAAGTTGGATCGATCGATGATTCGCAATTTCCTTTTCTTTTTTTTTTTTTTTTCTTCGCTACTAACACGACTGAATCTATTACGCGTCTTTTGGTCGCGTTGATCTCCAATAATCTTCCGTCAGTGTTCATTTAATGTGAAGTCTGTGATATGTTACGTATATATATATATATAGAGAGAGAGAGAGAGGAGAAGGAAGAAACAAAATATAGAAGCGTTGGTCCCATCCCCCCTCCGTTGCGGTTATCCGATCCGCTCGTCGCAACACCGGGGACGGCACTTTTTCATTTGCACAAATTGATTTAAACATATCCATACGTGTAATTCATTCACATTCAATATCACGAGTATAATAAGCGAAGCAATAGTTGCAAAAGAATAAATATATAGTCGAGTTTGGTGCACATCGTTGCCGAGGAAAAAAAAAAAAAAACGAAAATAAGATTTAGCTCAATTAATATTTCGATTACTGTGATATACTTCTTTTTTTTTGTGATCATTATACAAATGAATCTCCGTGATGATTCTGATCGAAGGTTTTTTTTTTTCTTTTTCTTTTTTCTTTTAAATAAATTTCTATTCCTTTGACACGTGTCTGAAATCTGGACGAAAGTAGCGTGAGGTGAATGAAGCGTTCGATATAAATTGATCCAATTTATTTTTTGTTTTTTTAAAAATGTATCGTATTTACCTCGTGTAACATGAAAGTTTAGGAGGAAAAAACGCTTATGTGACGTTAGAAGTCATATAATGGGAAAAAAAAGAAAAAAAAAAAAGAAAAGATACATTGAGTGTAATTAAACTTTTAAATAGTCTTAGATAGGAAAAGGAAAATTGAAAAAAATTCGAATTCTTTTTTTGTGTGTGTATATATATATATATATATATATACATACAAGTAATGTACAATTGTTC